CCAGTTATTAGCGATGCTGCCATGGTAGTGCATCTGCTTCCAGCTTTTTGTGTGTCGTTGAATCGTTGGCGCAGCTGTAGTCGAACATTCTTGTTGTTGATGTCGGGTAGGTATGCGATGGGGACGCGGCTTTGCCGTGTGGTATAAGACGAACATGTTGTCCAGCTACTCGTTCATGACCTCGTCTTGTCTGTTGCGTACCACTTGTCCTCGTAGTGATGTGGTATTCGCGGGGTCAAAGTTTGCGTTGGGGGCTCCCGTGCGTTGTAGTATAGGGTTTGATGCTGCACGTCTTTTGTTAGTGAGTCGAGGTGGCAAGTTGTCGTCTTCGTCGTCTGTGTAGTGGTTTGTGAAAGAGCGGAAGGTTTCCTCTGGTTCTCTCGGTTATACGTCTCCTGGCTGTCGCCTTTGATGGAGCAGGCCATGTAAATCCCCAGTGCGGTTAACCATGCACATCGTGGTGCGTCAGCATAGCCAGCAACGTGAATGCCGTAGTGGCCACCTTCGTCTGTGGGGATGCAGATTTGATATGGGGTGTTGTTCATGACAGTTTAAGCGGTTGGACACGTAGAAGTATTCAAGTCAACATTCGAGCAGTAGATGTTGCGGGAATAGAACATCGTCGTCGTCATCGTCGTCGTCCTCCTTCTCTTTGGAGTATGGCGATACATTCTCGTCGCTCTCCCCCGGCTGTTACATTGTAGCAAGCACTTTCGCGGAGAGCCGATCCGATCCGATCCTTCTCCTTCGCTCCCTCCATGTTCCCTTCCTGCTCGTTTCTGCTCCCTTCTCCCCGTCCTTCTAGTCGTCGTCCCTCCTGCGTCCTCCTCCTGCCTCCGCTTTTTTTTTCCTTCTTCTTCTTCTTCTTCTTCCTCTTCTTCTTCTTCTTCCCCCTTTGCACCCTCGTGCGCCAGGAGGAGGAGAAGGAGGAGGATGAAGAAGATGAGGAGGAGGAGGAAGAAGAGGAGGAGGAGAAGGAGGAGGAGGTGAAGAAAGAGATGCAGTGATTGGAGAAGACGGCCGAGGACGGGCAGGGGAGAGGGGTGCAGGCGGGAGCGCGTGCAGATGCCGCTCTTGTCCTCCGCGCGCTCCCCTCGCCTCCTCGGCCCTCTGCCCCCCGCTGCACGCCCGCTCCACCGTTTCCCCCCCCCTCTCCGGATGATGAGGAGGAGGAGGAGGAGGAGGAGGAGGAGGAGGAGGAGGAGGAGGAGGAGGAGGAGGAGGAGGAGGAGGAGGAGGAGGAAGGCGAGAGGAGGAAGGCGAGAGGAGGAAGGAGGGAGGAAGAGGAGGAGGAGGAGGAGGAGGAGGAGGAGGAGGAGGAGGAGGAGGACGAGGTGGAGAAGGAGGAGACCCCTGTAAAGCCAAGAGACATCAACGATGTTGGAATAAACCCTCCCTCCAAGCTCCCTCTTCATATGCCCCTACAGCGGTCCATTGAGGGAACTGCCTCGTTGGAAGACCACCGCTTGAAGACCCTGCAGCATGCTAAAGCATTGTTCTCGGGATTCCAACGCCACGGATCAACCTGACTGTTGCCTGTTCACGATCCAGAATCGTGCCAGACGCCATTTCTGGGACTTCAACTCAGCGAATCAACGTAGCTGTTGCGCCCGCTTAATCCTGAATCCAATCTAAACACAAGGTCTGGTACATTGGTGATGGGAATCCGTCGAATTCTAACATTTTTTAAAAAGAATGTCGATGGGGCGGCGCGGATGGCCCTCGGGGCTGCTGCAGCTTACGTATTTTAACCTCAGTGCCTGTTTCTCCTCGTCCTCCTCCTCCTCCTCCTCCTCCCTCCCCGTCCCTGTGCCGGGTGGCCCGGTCCCAGGGCGCAGGGGCTCGCGGTCTCTGGAAGCAGCGCCGGCCATGATTGCCACGGTGCTCGCGTGACTCCTGCCTGAGGCCCTAAGGCTGGTGCCGAGTTGCTGGCACGTGCGGCATGCGCGGTTTAGAGCGCCGCATTCGGCAGACAGATTCCCCCCTCCTCCTCCCCCTCCGTCGTCTCCTCCCTCCTCTGTCCTCCTGCCTCCGTGCGGGGTGCGCATGGGGCTGCGCACTTCTTGCGGGAATTGGCCGTTGCGCCGTCTGCACGCGGAGGTGGTGTCGTCGGCCGCTCCCCACGGTGGGAGTCGCCACGGGACCGCTCTGTCCTGGCTGGCCGGCCACCTTCGCCATCGGCCACCATTTGCGGGCTGCCCGCTTGAGTCGCCAGTGGAGGGCAGCTTGCGATTGTAGGAGTTCGAATCCTCGGCCTTGAGGGTTTGGGTCCTTCGTGCTCTCTCCATTCGCTGTCCTCCTACTCTCCCCTCTGCCTCCTCATCCAGACGCGACATTCTTGTCGCAGCATTGCCGAATTCATGTTGACGTGTCGGCGGGAGGGGCGCGGAAATCTGTTGCCCGAGTCCACTCTTCGGGCGTGGAGCGTCCCAGTATGCGTGTTGTGAGGCTAGGCCTCAGGCTGCAGATGGCCTGCCCATGTTGGAACCCTGGCGGTGCGCCCGGAGTCGACAGATGGCACGCGTTGACATTCGGCTGTCCTCGTCCCCTCCTTCTCCTCCGCTCCTCCTCTCCTCTTCCGCCTCCTCCCTGTTAGTGGTGGCATCTTCCCGGCCGTCCAGTTTAAGTCACGGTCGTTACTGGGCTCAGGCTTATTTCCAATGGGTGCGGTTATAGTCCCCGTGAGGGGCAGCGGACTTGTCTGACGCTTGCTGGACGGGCATCGTGTGCGGTTGTTCTGCTGTCGTGTTCATTGTTGGACAACAAAAATAAAACGAATGTGCGCCGCGCCAAGGGGAGAGCCATATGTTGAAAAGAAACCGCTCTCAATCCGTGAAGCCCTTGCGAATTGATAAAACGAAAGTGCGCCGCGCTGAGGCGGGAGCCACAGTTTGAAAACGACCCGCCCTCAATCCGTGAAAGTCTTGCAAATGTTTGAAGCGAGTGTGCGCCGCGCCAGGGCGAGAGCCACATTTTGAAAACCACCCGCCCTCAATCCGTGAAACTCTTGCAAAGTGCAATTTTTAAAAAGCGAATGTGCTCGGCGCTAAGGCGAGAGCCACATTTTGAAAATCACCGGTTCTCAATCCATGAAGCCCTTGCAATTTTTTAAACGAATGTGCGCGGCGCTAGGGCGAGAGCCACATTTTGAAAACCACCAGGCCTCAATCCGTGAAACTCTTGCAGATTTTAAGAACGAATGTGCGCCGCGCTTAGGCGAAAGCAGTTGCCAACTTAAACTTCTGGCCTGGGGGTGCGACAGGGAGAAGTTATTTATAAGGAAAATGAATGGAGAAGGATGAGGAGGAGGAGAAGGTGGAGGAGGAGGAGGAGGTGGAGGAGGTGGAGGAGGAGGAGGAGGAGGAGGGGGGAGGAGGGGAGGAGGAGGAGGAGGAGGAGGAGTGGAGGAGGAGGAGGAGGAGGAGGAGCAGGAGTTGAAGGAGCAGGAGGAGGACGAGGAGGAGGAGGATGAGGAGGAGGAAGAGGATGAGAAGGGGAGGAGGAGGAGGAGGAGGAGGAGGAGGAGGAGGAGGAGGAGGAGAAAGAGGAGGATGATGGTGATGTGATGATGATGATGATGATGATGATGATGATGATGATGATGATGATGATGCTGATGATGCTGATGATGATGATGAGGAGGTGGCGGAGGAGGAGGAGGCGGAGGAGTTGGAGGAGGAGGAGGAGGATGAGGAGGAGGCGGAGGAGGAGGAGGAGCAGGAGGAGGAGGATGAGTCGGAGTAGGAGGAGGAGGAGGAGGAAGAAGAGGAAGAAGACGCAACATAAAGACATGAATAATAATAATAATAATACTCCTAATAATAATCATACTAATAATAATAATCATAATAATAATACTATTCTTAACATTAATAATACTAGTATTCTTAGTAACATTAAATAGAATAAAAATTATAATACTCATACTAAGAACATTAGGGCTACCACGAAGACGCATGCTAATACTATTGGTAATACTATTAGTAAGAAGAGTAATGTCATGAAGAAGAATACTACGAATATTAATAATAACATTTATATGAAGGAAAAGAGGAGGAGGAAGAGGAGGAGGAGGAGGAGGAGAGGTACGAGCGCAGGAGGAGGAGGAGGAGGAGGACCCTGACATTTACTCGATATGACTGGTCTGCAGAACGCAGCATCGGCCTTAAGACCCCGCTCGGCTGTCTCTCTTGGCCCTCGGCTCGTGTGGCGCGAGCGGCACGTGCGCGAGCCACGGTGCCGTCACCGAGCCGTGTGAGGTTTGCGACGGGGAAGCCCTTGCTCAGTGCCGGTCGGTCGTTGAGTATTATTGGATTCCCAGATGCCAATCTACTTTTAAGCGCTTTCTTACTTCAGCGATCGAGTGGCTTCACCTTTTCCGTCCTCTTTAGGGGGCGGGTGGGCGTGTGTTGCACACAGGATGGCACGTGCTGGTCTTTCCCTTTCTGTTTTCAGTGCGGCGGTTTTCGGTACGTCAAGATGGCGCTGAGGCTGCAGCGTGGGCCTCATGTTAGGATCGGCTTTCTCTTACCCAGAGCGAGCCATTTTGCTGTCCGCCTTTCCGGGGCCTCTTGCTCCTCCCATTCCTTATGCTCCAGTTCCTGCTGCTGCTGTTCGTCCTCATCTTCTTCCTTGTTCAATCATTTTTGTTCTACTGTTTATCCTCCTGCTCATCCTCCTCTTCAAGTGTACGCCGCTCCCCAGTTCCGATTTTCGCATAAGACGACAGGCTCCTTTCTGAAATGCCAGGTCTGCTATGACACGCATCGGCGGATAGAGAGCAAACAGCGCAACGGGAAGGGATGGGTGGGAGGGGCACGTGTCAGATGTGGCACGACCGCACCTAGCTTGCCGTAGCCCTCTAGCCCCCCCCCCATGGCTCGTCTCTTCGTCACACCCTTTCATCCTGCGGCTGCTGCCGCTGCTCCTCCTCCACTTCCTCGTCCTCTTCCTCCTCCTCCCCCCCCTCCTCCCTTCTCCCTCTCGCCTTTCCGTGGCAGGCGTCCCGCAGCATTCGGCCGCCAGGGCCTTCCGGGACGCTCAGGGCAGGCGCGGCCCGCTCCCCGCGCGAGGAGGTCGATCGCGTGGTCCCTCATGGGAGCCCCAGCGAGGGTCCCAACGCTCGTGGCGGTTTTGGGGGCTCGTCGTCCAGATTTCGTCGGCATTGGCTGACGTCTGGGGGACATCTGGACAGTGCCTGGACGAGAGCCTGGGCGAGCATCTGGACGAATGGGGTGAGGAGGGGCGGTCGAACTCTGGACGAGGTCGGGTCGAAACCATGATGGCCGCGGAGGTCCGCAGAGGCTCCCGTGAAGGCTCACCCACGCTCGACGGATGCGTCTTCCGTGCTGTGCACACAGCCCGTAGGCGAAACACATGTCAGTGTCCACGGCCTCGTGGGCCGGGCTGCTGGGGCGCCAACCCGAGGATGCGGAGCGCTTTTTCGAGGATGCCCCGCGCGGAACGCATTCGTGCGGCCGCGTATCCGCGGGATCGCGCCCCTGAATTCAGACCGCGAGGGCGCGGATATGGATACGTTCGCCGCTCGTGATGCACGGGGGGTTTGGGGCGGTCGCGCATCTTGTTTTGGGTTACCGGCCGAGAGTCCAGCTAGAGCAGCAGAAGCATATTCCGACAGTCGAGGTCGTCACCACGAGAGCCTAGCCAGATCAGCAGAAACATTCTGGCAGTCGAGGGGGTCATCGCGTTGTGATGGGGGAGGCTCCGCCAAGGCAGCTCCTGAGCTCGCGGTTGGCTGCTTGCCGAAGCACGCGCCCCGCCAAATCTGATTAGAGATCTGCCTTCAAACTGCCTCGCCCCGACTGCCAGGGCCCCCTTGTGTGCGGCAGAGATGCAGACTCTCCTGGGGACTTCCGTAGGGTTCCAGGCCGCCGACGTGCCGACACGCATGAGGTTTCGAGTATATTTTTCGGCCTCTGGAGTCTCTCACTAGACACACCTGGATCGTCACAAAACGGCCCAGGCTTGAACACCGGTCTTGGGGACGGGGTCGACCTCCAGGAAGATGTGCGGCGTCGGAGTTCCGGGTCCGTGTCGTGCTGGCGCTGCAGCGGCCTCGGCGCAGCTCTCAAGGTTGAACGCCGCCAGCGGCCCAGACTCTTCAAGACGGTGGAGCAGGGATCGCTGCAGTGTGGGCCCATGCCAAGAAACACCCTGCTTGCCTCCGCGGTGCCCTGGGTGGAACGCCGCCAGCGGCCCAGACGCTTCAAGACGGTGTAGCCAGGAGCACTGCTGGCTCATGGGGGCGCCAGTTCGATGATCCTCAGGACGTGTGTTAGCCCAATGTGTGTTTACCCCCTTGAGCCCAACCAGTAGATCATTACATCGCCTGCGTCGTATCGAATGGCCTCGATAGACAAACACATGTTTGGGCTGACACACGTTCTGAGGATCATCGACTGGTGCCTGGGCCCTTCCTCAGATGCAGGTCGGGGGAGCCCGCTCGTGGTCGAGGCTTGCTCCCAGCCAGACGAGAGCCCCTCACGCAGCTCCTTCCAGCGCTCCCTCCTCGATAGCACCACGACTCTAGGCTTACCCCCAGAGTGGGGGAGCGAGCCCAGCTGCATGCTCAGACTGTCTTCTTCCAGGGGCGTCCAGACTCCTGGGCGCGCGCGCCCGACCGAGGCCCCAGCTTGCGCGGGAAGCGGGTGGGGCAAGACTAGTCAAAAATAGTCTGGGGATGACTTCTCGATCATTTGGTACAATTTCTGAATCTTGTTTTGCCTTTTTGATTTTTTTCCGTCAAGGTTCCCCTGTAGGAGGACATGCCCGACCTGAGTCCACCAGCACCTCAGACCCCCCCCCACGCCGTGTACACGATCACGATGGGATGCTTCTTGCCATTGTGGCCTCGGGGGGCCCTCGCCAGGCTCCAGGGCCGTCAGAGAAACGACTCCGGAGGAAAGGGCGGTCTCGGGGAACGGGTCGAGACGTCTGGGGGTCCACTCTGGGAACCGATGTCGTGACGTCGGGGTCCGTGCGTCTACCATCAGCTGGATCACTTTGTGCGTCCCCACCTGTCCACCCAGCGACCGATGCCTCCCTCGCTTTTTCCGTAGTCTCACGCCGAGTGGCCCTGCAGGGTGTGGTCGGGTGTCGTCTGGGCACAGTCGGCCGAAGCCGACAGGGTCGGCTGACATGTCATGTGCTCCGATCTGGTATTGTTGAGTTTGTCAGATGTGCGGCCTGGTTTCGTGCGATGGCGGACATCTGGGCGCGCATATTCAAGTGACTTGTGCTTGTCCTGCTCCTGCTTGCTTTCGTAACCTTGAGAAGCGATTCCCGACCCCCCATCCTTCGTCGGCGAAACAATCTCGCTTCTCGCCCCTGGACCCTCTCATGCGGGATTCGACCAAGATCCTGATAAGGGCTCCATTAAGACCCCAATCGGATTACAATAATAGCCCAAAGGGTCCGTCTCGAGGCCTCTCCGCTCCCATGCCATCGGAGGCTTCACGCTCCTCTCTCACTCCTGCCTGATTCCTCGTGCTTCATCGTTTCTCAGCTGTGAAGCTCCCCAGTGCCACCGACGTGTCCGCGGTCCACGGGGAGCACGCTTGCGGACATCTGTGTGTGGCTCGTTCTCCTCGAGTCTGTTCTGCTCGGGCCTTCTCCCATTTTGGCTCTGTCCGTTCGGCTGTCATCTTTTCTGATCTGGTCGATTCTGGTCCCCCGCGGGATGTGGCACGTTCTATGACAATTTGGCACCGTTTTGTGATATGCTTCTGTCCGATGTGATCGAGTCTAGTTCAGAACACTGAACGGGCGACGGTTGAGAGGATCTCTTGCCAGCCTCTTGCTTGCTGTCGTTTAGAGGCGTCATTGGGAGTATTGGGGCGCCCCTCGGGGATGTGTGTTCATCTTGTGGGCTTTTGGGGTGTCTTGGTCTTTGGGTGGCTTCTTGGATGCCTTCCGACGATTCAGTGGCTTCTCAGGCCGTCTTGGAAGTGTTTTGGGATTGCTTCAGGCCGTCTGAGGGGTCCCTCGGTGGCTCGGTGGGCCATGTAAGGGCTCCCCAGACCACCTTGGGACGCCTCTTGGACGTTTCTTGGGGCCTCTTGAGGTGTCCTGGGGTCTTCTTGGGCTGCTTGGGAGCTTCTTGACTTTGAACGGCGGTCGCAGGCGAGCATACCGAGCACCGTGCCTACGTCCAACGCCGCTTGTACTCAAGCGACGTCGCTCAATATGACTGTGCCATCGGTGGCGCACTATCGCACCTGGGTATATAATGGAAAAGGAGATGTCCACATCCTTTGATTGTGCATACTCTCACTTGTTGCCTCATCTCTTATCTACGGGCGTATGCCTCAGTATGGGATAAGCTATGGGATACCACGGAACGTATACGACGTTACTATAAGTGGAGTGTCGGCTTAGACCCTCCAGACCCTCGCTTTTCAGTTGGTAGGGTATTTGGCCTCACTTTCATGTTGTTGGCTCGTGCACGATGTGTTATGTACATAACGGTATACCACGGCACAGTGGGACATGCATCTACGCAAGCTATCAGCCACTACACCCCCTACGAATCACCAACCAATTTGAAATTCATTACCTTATCCCTCCATCCCCCACCGCGTGGCCGCACGCCATACAAAAACACAAATATTCGCAGTCCTGACGGATACGTCAGCTCAACAACACAACGACCACGACGCGAACAACTACATTATGAACGTGCGCTACTTCTCAGTCACCATCTTTGGCGTTTGATTGGCGTGTCTTTGCCTATCGGTGGGGTACATGCACCGGGGAATGGACGACGCACGCACCAGAAGTCCTCGCTGGGGACCCCGCAGGGAACGTACCATTCCGCGAGTTCGTTCGCGGCGTACATGCATGGCTCAACATTACAAGTGGAGCCATGACTCCACCACAACAGGCTGCAACATCGCTGCGAGGCTTAGGAGGCCTAGCCAGGACCCTGGCTCTGAGCGTACCGTCTTCCATCACCAAGTACGGTGTAACCTTACAGGGTTGACGCACAGGCGGAGTTACATATATCCTTGTCCTCCTCAGCTCCAAAGTCGAGCATTTCGAGGAGGAGCGACAGCTCACCTCAGGGACCCTCCTTGTCGACTTCAGTGTCGACAGGGGCGAACGAATCGATGCGGTATTTGCACGTTTCGAAATGGCCAGACTTGAAGCATATTCGGCTGGTTTCATCATGCCGAATATCAGCCAGCGTTGGCTCCGAATTGATTGGACGACTCAAATTCAGAAATCAGTGGAAACAAGCATCCTTGGAATCCGCAATGCAGCAAGCAAGCGTGCAAGCAAGCGCGCAAGCAAGCGAGCAAGCAAGCCTGCAAGCGCGCAAGCGCGCAAGCAAGCAGGCATAGGCATAGGTGTAGGAATAGGAATTCAGGGGGGAGGCAAAGGCATAGGCATAGGCATAGCCAGACGAATTATGGGGGGCATCGAAATTAGGGGGGGAACGGACCAATTAGTAGGGTTTGAGCTAGGACTCCTTCCTAGAGTAAGCCTACTTGGAGACTCAAGCATGCTTGGAATCCGCAACTCAGCAAGCAAACAAGCGTGCAAGCAAGCGCGCAAGCGAACAAGCAATCAAGCAAGCAAGCAAGCAAACGTGCAAGCGCGCAAGCAAGCAGACAAGCAAGCAAACAAGCAAGCAAACAATCAGGCATAGGCATAGGAGTAGGCACAGGAGTTATGGGGGGATACATAGGCATAGGCATAGGCATAGCCATAAGAATTAGGGGGTGGCATGGGAACCAGGAGGAGGTAACGGATTAATTATCAGGGTTTGGGCTAGGACCTAGGACTCCTATAGGGCAAGCATGTTTTGAGAAGTTCCAGGTCCTGACGCTCCTATTGGTCCGAGGTCTGGGGGTAGGCACTTCCCGGACATCGCAACTACTGCAACCAATGAGCCTGTACATGCCCCGTATCCAACAACAATACGACCAGTTATTGGAGCGAGTACGCAGCTATGGACACTTCGTTGCGCGGTCTCTTGGAAACATCGGAGGCACCTTCAGTGGCCGAAGTGCCGGCGCGCTCCACGC